GATCATTTGACAGTTATGGGGGATTAAGGTGGTTTGAATCGGTCCTTGGGATAAAGTTATTCTTAAAATACATATTTTGAATGGCTCTTAATTTTTGGGGATTGATAGAGGCAGCACATTCCTAACTGAACACGCGCGCGTCATAGTTGGTAGAATTAAAGATTTAAATAACAGTTGGCGCTAGACTTTCAATGAAGAACGTGAATTAATTAGAGGGAAGTTTCGATATGTATATATATATATAATATATGACATATATATATAGTATAGTAATATGTATATATCGTAGTTTATATATTATTATTATAATATTATTATTATTATTATATTGCGTATTGCCATTACTGACCTCGCTACCGATTAACGGTGTTATTCTTCCAGGACAGCTTTTCAGCTGTATCTTGGATTAACAAGGTTATTACGATTGTTGGTGAACCTATAATTGATGATGATGAGATAGATGAAGGGACAATCACAAATACCGAACCATGTCTACGCAATGACTCGAATCTGCCAGCCGGTCCTCGGAAGCAGACGACGGCAGGCCCAACTGTCTGCGGCCACGCGGCTGACCACACACACACAATATATATATATATATATATATATAATATAATATATATATATATTATATATTATATAGCGGGACTCGGGAGTAGTTGTTGGCGCTTGAGAGCTGACCTTTGAACTCGTCGTGCCCCGGCGTGCCGGGTGGTGTGCAGGTAGCGGATCTGGTCGCGCGCCAGCTGGTGCGCCATGAAGTGGGTCGACGGGTGCTGCCACTGGCGTCGGCGGCGCCGGCGCCGGCGGCGGCAGCGCCAAGCGGCGGCGGCCGGCGCGGCGGCGTTCGGGGGGCGTGGCGGGGGCGCGCCGCAGGCCGCGCACTCGCTGCACCCACCTGCCGGGCTGCCGCACACCGTCGTAGCGCACGTTCGAGTGCCGCCTCGCCCGACGCGTCCCGTCCGCGTTTGTGGCGAAGGTGAGGTTGGCCGGCAGATGCGCGCCCAGCCTTGTGCGTCAGACCAGCCCGGTGTTGTTGACGAGTGTGCAGCTCCATGCGGGTAGGCGCGACACGCGCAGGAGGCCCACCGCACGCTCGTCTCGATGCCGTCCGACACCTGCGCAACACGCCGGGCACGCACCGCCTCGAGAGAGTAGGCCTCCGCGGACGGACCCCACCCACCAATCACTTGGCTGTGCTTCCCAGGCACATGTGCCAACGTCTCGGTCGTTCAGCGTCCTTCCTCAGGCGAAATGTCGCCTGGATCCGTAGACTTCCGCGGCTGGAGTCATTTGATACTTGGCTGTCCGGGATGAACCGCGTCACAGTCGGTTAAATGCTGACTTTTTGGCAATCATGTTGGCCTTCTTCAGAAGCTACTTGGGGCCTTCAGCAGTGTAGCTATGAAGAAGGCCACAACGTGATGGCCGAAACGTCAGCTCGACCGACTGACTCGACAGTCGGTCCTTCAGAGCAATACTGCTCCTTCAGATCTACACAGCTGGCCTTCTTCAGCAGCTACTTGGGTTCTTTATCAATATAGCAATGAAGAGGGCCACAGCGTGATGGCCGAAACGTCAGCTCGACCGACTGTGACGACCGACTGACTCGACAGTCGGTCGAGCTGACGTTTCGGCCATGTTGTGAGCTCCTTCAGATCTATACTGCTGGCCTTTTTCAGCAGCTACTTAGGGTCATTAACAGTATAACAATAAAGAGGGCCACAACGTGATGGCCGAAACCTCAGCTCGACCGACTGACTCGACAGTCGGTCGAGCTGACATTTCGGCCATGTTGTGAGCTCCTTCAGATCTATACTGCTGACCTCCTTCAGCAGCTTCTTGGAGCCTTCAGCAGTATAGCTCTGAAGAAAACCGCAACGTGATAGTTTAAACGTCAGCTAGCCCGACTGTGATACTTCTCATTCCGGACAGCCAAGAATAAAATGCCGTCTTTCGCCCTGAGCCATGTCGCAGAATGGTGGCCGAAAATGTTGGCACCGTGTCTAGGACGCGGCGACTCCTGTACAGCCGAGTAGTTGTTAATGCACCACCTCTCTCACAGGATGACTCAAAAGAAGCAATTTACCAAAATAATTTCATTCACGAAATAACCAATACCGTTACCAATACATAATCTACGTTCCTTTTAAAGATAATAATTCTATTAACGTCAATACTTTTACTCACATATTTTGGACGCTAAAACTGCATTCCGACCTCCCCCACCCAACACGCTTTTCACATCTCTTGTAACATTTGCTATGGTTCTTACCTATTTTCCATTGTCAATTCCTCTCATATGTCATTAGCACTTCTTGGAAGTTGTTAAACGGTCAAAGATAGTAAAATGCAGTTTGAACAGAATTGCATTGGGCAATGGGGCAGCTAGTTACATTCTAACGTTTGAACTATAATTTGCGTTTTCAGAGATATTTTTCAGTTTCTATGACATTCTGCATTTTGAACTTAAAGGTAGTGGGGAATAAAGTGACTATTTCAATAAAATGTATGGCAATAATATGTTGTATCATACTTTTCAATTTTTGAAACTGGCAATCAATTGTAGTCATTCCGACATATTTGAGATATGACTTATTACTTATATTACGAGAAATATTTCATAACGGTCTGCCATTACGAACAGTGTCAATTCCGGGACCAAAATCAATACAACACTACGGTTGCGTTTAAAAATCAAGGAACTAATTGTTATTACGTAACTGCCTCTGACGATTATTTCCTCAGAATGTCATTGATAACAAATGAAAAATAATACAAGGGTTTGAGATGTGATTTTTCTTGGATTTATCATTGACTTTTCTTCAAGAAACATTGAAGAATCACAATTCAAGATTCATATAGTTGAATGCTCTCTTGAAGTTACGACATGCCCATTGTAGTTATTCTTCCCTTTACGAATATTCCTACAAACTATGCGTTTACTTGCACTACTACATTACCGGTAGAAGTGAAAATTCATCTAAATGTAAAAAGCAATGAAGCGTAATTGGTTATATTTGGTAGATTGGGATAACAGAAATTAATCTCAAAATTCTTCTGTCATAGTGAGATTTGTGTATGGCTGCCTCTGACGGTCCGTCTTCACGATGGAATATGTCACGTTATTTCACGTCCGTGCCGATAGAGGTCGCATGATCGCAAGCACCGCTTCATACGGTCGCGATCATGCGACATCCAGCGGCACTACCGACAAGCACGCGTGACACATTCAATCGTTAAGGCAGGCGTTGAGTGGCAACTATATAAAAATCGCACTATATAGACCCATTCATAATGCAAACATAAACATTAGAATGGCGTTAACATAAAGGTTAGGACTACGTCCATAAGCGGACTCATTCACAATGCGTTCGCACAAGCATAACACGAAAGACATTAACTCAAAAGCATGCAAGCTTTTGTGCTTATGCTTAAGCAAGGCATAAGAAATGAACCAATCACATTACTTTAACTCGAAATCGAGAATTCAAGTAGATAGACGAACTAACGCCATATGAGCCATGGATACAGTCGATACCTTGAAATCAACTTTTCCACCCCACCAATAGTAAACGAAAATGTCTCACAGCCAATAGAAACTCTTATTTTGCTTACGTTTATGTCGGACATTGTGAATACTTCTTTGTGAATACTACCACTTATGTTACTGTTTGCATTGTGAATGGGCCTTCATTCACAATGTGTTCGCATAAGCATACACGTTAGACGCGAAATTAAAACCTTGCAAGCTTCTGTGCTTATGCTTAAGTAAGACATAAGAAATGAACCAATCACAGAACGGTAACTCAAAATCGAGAATCGAAATCGGAGCAAAGGTCGATAGACGAAATAATGTCATATTGGCCATGGACGCGATACATTCAAATCGATTCTCACATCCAACCAATAGTAAATCAGAATGTGCCCCATCCAATAGAGAGACTTATTTTGCTTAAGTTTATGTCAGACATTGTGAATACTTCAGTCAATCACTTAATGTGTTAATGTTTGTCTATCCGCTATGCTTATGTTTACGTTTGCATTGTGAATGGGCCTTCACTCACAATGTGTTCGCACAAGCATACACGTAAGACTTTAACTTAAAAGCTTGCAAGCTTCTATGCTTATGCGTAAGTACGACATACAAAATGAACCAATCATAGTACGTTAACTCAAAATCGAAATTGGAGCGAAGTCGATAGACGAACATATGAGCCATGGACACAGTCGATACCTCGAAATTGATTCTCTCATCCAACCAATACGAAATCCATCCAACCATACGAAATGAACCAATCATAGTACGTTAACTCAAAATCGAAATTGGAGCGAAATCGATAGGCGAACATTTGAGCCATGGACACAGTCGATACCTCGAAATCGACTCTCCCATCCAACCAGTAGTAAACCAAAATGTCTCCCAGCCAACAGAAACTCTTATTTTGCTTACGTTTATGTCAGACATTGTGAATACTTCAGTCTATCATTTATGTTAATATTTATGTCTATGCGGTATGCTTATGTTTCGTTTGCATTGTAAATGTGTCTTCATTACCAATGGTTCGCATAAGCATAACACGTAGAATGTTAACTTAAAAGCTTGCACGCTTCAAGCGTCTATTCTTATGCTTAAGTACGACATACGAACCAATCATAGTACGTTAACTCAAAATCGAAATTCTAGCGAAGTCGATAGAACAACTAACGTCATATGGGCCATGGACACAGTCGATACCTCGAAATCGATTCTGTCACCCAACCAATCCAACCATCCAATCCAACCAAGCCAATCCAACCTTCCAACCAGAATGTCTCCCAGCCAACAGAAACTCTTATTTTGCTTACGTTTATGTCTGCCAGTGTGACTACTTCAGTCTACCGCCTACGTTACTGCTCGCATTGTGAATGAGCCTTGTGTGGCTACTGACCTGCAGGGCGAGGCGCGATCCCTCATCGCCTCCGCCCGGGCCGCCGCCGCCGCCGCCGCCCTTGTGCACGTAGGCGACGAGCCGCTGGTCGACGTCGCGTTGCGTGAAGGTGTCGATGGGCGTGCCCGGCGCGTGCACGCGCTCCACGTAGCCGCGCGCCTCGCCGGCCTGCCCGCGCAGCACCGTGTACACGAGGCCGGCCGGCGCGCTGTCCGGGTCCTCGGCGCGCAGCAGCTCGCTCGTCAGCACCTTGCGCGTGCCCTGCGCATGCGACAGCCCCAATAAACGCTACGTCTCCAAGCACTCCCAACGCCTCTTGTGTGCATGCCGGCCCGGCTCTCTCCTGGCTCTTACACTCTCGTTAAATTTACAGTTTTGGGACACGGTTCGCAAAGGACCACATCAGTTTCTGTTGACTTTATTGGTGGACCCAAGTCTATTAGTCAGGAGAGAGTACGGTTCCCAAAGGACCACATCAGTTCTGTTGACTTTATTGGTGGACTCAAGGCCTACAGACAGGAGAGAGTACGGTTCGCAAAGGACCACATCAATTCTGTTGACTTTATTTGGGTGGAACCCAATAAAGTCTATGACTTATTTGATTAAGACCTACCAGCCAGGAGAGAGTAGGGTCGCAAAGGACCACATAGGTTCTGTTGACTTTATTGGGTGGGACCCAAGGTCTATATCAAGGAGAAGATAGGGTTCGCCAAAAAGACCACATTAGTTCTGTTGACTTTATTGGGTGGACCCAATAAAGTCTATGACTTATTTGGTTAAGACCTACAGCCGGGAGAGAGTAGAGTTCGCAAAAGACCACATCAGTTCTGTTGACTTATTGGTGCGACCCAAGGCCTACAGGACAGGAGAGAGTACGGTTCGCAAAGGACCACATCAATTCTGTTGACTTTATTGGGTGGGACAATAAAGTCTATGACTTATTTGGTTAAGACCTACAGCCAGGAGAGAGTAGGGTTTCACAAAGGACCACATCAGTTCTGTTGACTTATTGGGTGGGACCCAAGGTCTACAGACAAAAGAGAGTACGGTTCGCAAAATACCACATCAGTTCTGTTGACTTATTGGGTGGACCCAATAAAGTCTATTGACTTATTTTGTTAAGACCTACAGCGTGAGAGAGTAGAGTTCGCAAAGGACCACATCAGTTCTGTTGACTTATTGGGTGGGACCCAAGGCCTACAGTCAGGAGAGTACGGTTCCCAAGGACCACATCATTCTGTTTGACTTATTGGGTGGGACCCAAGGCCTACAGACAAAAGAGAGTACGGTTCGCAAAGGACCTCATAAGTTCTGTTGACTTAAAGTCTACGAGTTATTTGGTGGGATGTAAGTCCTATAGCCAGGAGAGAGTACGGTTCGCAAAAGAATTACAGTTCTCTCGTGGCTCTAGTCCCCCTGTTCAGTTATTTGGTGGGACACGGGACCTAAAGCCAGAAAAGCGGTTTGAAAATGAAGTCGTCTATTCTCTCCTGGCTCTAGACTCATTCTTGAGTTATTTGGTGGGTCACAGGACCTACAGCCAGAAGGGTATATGGTTCGCAAAGGACCACATTAGTTTTATGACTTATTTGGTGGGATATAAGACCTGTAGCCAGGAAAGAACACAGTTCGCAAAGAATCACCTTAGTTATCTCTTGACTATACTCTCCTTTACTTATTTGATGGGAAAGAGGACCTACAGACAGGAGAGAAACCGGTTCACAAAAGAACATAGCTGTTCTCTCCTGACTCAAGTCTCCTTCTTGAGGTATTTGGTAGGACACAGGATCTGCAGCTAGAAGAGACTGAGGTTCACAAAAGAACACAGCTGTTCTCTCCTGACTAGTGTCCCTCTTGATGGACCGAGAGCTTTTTTTGACAAACATCTACAGCAAATGGATAAATGGAATAGGTGTGGAAAGCGCTGAACAAAGGCCGGCGTTCAATAAGATGTACATGTTAACAGCTGCGTACTCAAGCTATTCCGATACCCGAAAGCATTTATGGGGGTTGCATGTTTGTGTGACAATAATTTACGTTTCTGAGTCATGACAAGGTAACATACTATATATTTTTAACATTTTCTGTTATTGCGGCCCTTCTCGAACACAGATGAATTTTTTTGAAGAAATAGTTCAACATTCACTCTGTTGCTCGGACGGCACAACTGTTATCTACAACAAAAGATACTCAAATAATATTTTTACTTTATTATTTCCAAGTCCGGCTGAAAAAGAACGAAGTTCTAGTAATCATACGATAAGCAGTAAAAGGCGAAACTATCACACAAGGTTTAGAATTTTTTAATAATAAATGACATAAAAATTAAAACCGATACTCCGTATTTAAGTTAAAATTATGAAAAAGAACTACGCTGGGATCCATCTCCCCTTCCCCTAGATATGCAACTGGTAAGGTGTTTGAGCTACGTTAACCTAGCCAAGGGATCGCCGATTTCATAGGCTAATTTGTCTTGCTTCTCTCGCGCAATTTTTGGTTGAGGGCGAGCCTCTAGCCTTCCGACATAAAGGCATAACTTAAAAACAATCTTGAGTCCTGCGAATACAAAATTTCCAAGGCGTTTATAGCAAAATATAGAGAAGGCTCGCCTTGAATCACTTCCTTCACACAAATTCTACTAAAAAACCCATTTATCTATATGCATTATATATGCATATATATGCATTCCACACTATTGCATATGTTTGATACGTTTTATCTGTTCCCACACTATGCAGAAAGCACTGAAACAAATTCGAAAGTCATTCCAGCAACACTTATGCTTTAACGAAAGGCGAACATTTCGCGCTTAATAAAACAGTGTGTTAAAAGTTTCATTTTGGAATACAACTTAGAACGGACCCAGCCCCTGCCTGAACTGTGCGTGACATTACAGCGACCCGGTACTGTGGGTGAATAAACATTCCAATATTGCTAAGGGTTTAATTCAGAAGAACGTAGAGATCCATGCAATTCATGCGCATAAGACAACAAATACTCAATTTAATTTTACATTGATTTCGGGATACTGTACAGTTTTCATCACCCATACTAAAGAATGGAAATGTCGAGAATTAAACATCCAAAAATATGAGATTTTAAAAATTCCTGATTTTGATTAAATACAACCCAAGAAACATTGCACGGGCCCTGAAAAATAGTTTTTAAGGTCGTAAAATACCCCGCTTTCAGGTTGCGTACGTGTTGTGGATTGAATGTCTGTTTACTGATTTCTTCAAAACAGAATCCCTAAATTCTACGTTTTTCGTTTTAAATATGTTTGATGCAGCCATGATGGTTAAATACGTATCCATTAGAAGTATATTTAGAAGGTTTTGTGTCGAATTTTATCTTGTAAATTGCATGAAACCCTCATATTTCCTTAGAATATAATAACAAGAAAAGATAATAATGGATCAATATTATTGTCAATGGACTACAAGAACAATTCAACAAATAGCAGGATATATTGCTAATAGGATAACAGGTTTGAGGTGATTTCTCATTAGACGAAGTATTAACCTGGAAGACCTTTTCGTCTTTCCCCATGCTAAGTAGTAATTATATTACAACGTAACTACACGTTATTGTTAGAGGCAAGTTTGTAGATCTAAGAAAAGTAATTTTGTTGTATCATACTCACAAATTACACAAATTTATAGTTACCCAATGTTATAATTACGTGTCTCAAATATCTTGCAAACTATCGAAAAAATGTAGAATACAAATACAACCGCATATGGTAGATGTTTTGTAACAAAGACACTTTCATCACAGCTTATTTGGCTGGGAAATAGTAACACAGATTAAGCGATATTAACAGTGAATTGAAACAATCTCTAAATTCAATGAGAAGCATCAAAAGCAAAGCGATGGAGGAACCTACATTTAGCGGAGGAATTCATTTATTCCTTCTTCAATGGCCTTTGTAAAGTTGCACAGAAAAGATTTAGAATGCGTTAACGTACAACTGGGTCGAGTTCTAAAAAAAGGAACAAGAGCTGTCTCAAGAAAGAAAAGGGAAAGTTATGAAAGTATTATTTTTCTTTCGGCTGGATGTGGCATTTCCTAAATTGGGTTCAAATGACACAAGAGCTTTTCTTTAAGTCGTAAGAAAATAAAAAGTCTGCGTAAATTTCAAGCTAAATTCTGTTTCTCAAAAGTAGAAAGAGCTTTTCTTCCCGCAACAAGAGATGGGTTAGTGTCACTTCTTGGCAAGAAGTTCACAACGAACCGCACAATGCATTTATGGAAAATGCGTGTTAAATTATTTCAAAGAACGCTTTAAGTTCAAATGTGTATCTTTGAATTTTTTCGACATTAGGAGTGGTATACAACAATTTTCTACAGCGAACTCGAGAAAGTGATGTTTGACAAAATTTAATTTCAGTAAAAAGGTAAAAAATACTGTGACACCTGTTTTATGCGGTCGCTCACGGTTCTCGAGAATTTGACCGTTAGGTCGAGTGACCGCTTGGCATATGCAATGAAGATAGTTTCCGTTGCTTCTTAACTTTTTAATTACACCTCACCTCAAAAATACCTGAAGCTTTTTTAAACTGCGTGAAACTCCTATACAAAACCATTCGATTTCCTCTATTTGAACTCTTCCCCCCGAAACATTACCCTTTTTTCTTTTCATTCGTTGACCGGATTCTCAAACTGATTTGGAAGCTGAAGCCCATTTCTTGAGTAAATTACTTTCATGAAAATCAGTTATTGTTACCTGAAAAACAAATTAATCACCCTGCAAGGTAAGCATCTGTAGTTATCAATCTTCTTTGTAATCTACCACTGCATTTTAAGGCATAAAGATAATGTGTATATAGTAATGTCCATCCCATTTCCACGACTTCTAGCGTTGTGCATAATTGTTAGGAAATACTCATAATTGTTAGGAAAATAGCAACATTGTGCGGAAGGTGTGAGAGAGTAATGCAGGTTAATGTACAAAATATGTATGGATGTTGACCGCGTGGACATGGTGACTACTTTAAAATGGAATATTTACATATGTGCAGAGAAAAATCTTTTGGTTCCACGAAAACTGACCATAACTGAGGTGACCGCTTAATCGAGTGGTCGTTTCAGCAGGTTTCAGAGAACTTATAATTGTGCGTACACCTGACAAAATAGAGAATTTTTCAATGCAAACTTTGAAAATAGATAATTTTGCGCAAAGAAGTAAAGAAATAATTTTTTTTAGAGAAAAAATTAAATATAGACCTAACATAGATATTGGGCTTTACAGGGTTGCCTTAAATGTGACACAGATTACTTCGAACTTGGTACACACATTTATGTTAACGGAGACGCAAATACTTGTAACATGTTTTGTCTTACTGGCTTGGAATATTGTCATAGTTGTAACGAGTAATCAATACTTACAAAACGAACACTATTTGAAACTTAATTCTTATTAATTATAAAGAACAAGATTCTAATTAATCATACAGTTGAAGTCCTTAGAACTACAGATTTCACCCATCGTCCCTCCAAATACACATTTTTATGCAAATTAAGACAAAGTGTGATTTATTTATTCACAACTAAATATCACAGGAAAATGAAATGCTGTGGATGTTGGGTATTGGTTTAATCGAATATAAAAATTTAATTGCAGTGTTACTTAAAAAAAAAAGAATTAGCGAGGTTCATGACAAAAATTGTGGTAAGTAAATTATATTTTCTATTCTGTCGACTCACCAAATAAGTTCAGAATCATTTATTATAAATGCCTTGCCTGCTATTGCAATTTGAATTCCTAGTTCTCAGTTTCAGTTATAACACGACTTCAATTCATTCGATTCATGAAGCAAGCGATTTGGGACTAAAATTCGAGAGAGTTTTAGAATATAATATCTGCAAGATATAACTCTTATCTTCAAGTCAAAAGATATTCATTTCAAGACTTTTATATTTCTTACTAACACTTTTTTCTTTCTAAACCGACTTAATTTTTATATTTCTAAACAAATCAAGAAAAGGAAAAGCAGGAAATACTTGCAGCAGTTTTCATCTGATGTATTTTTTAGACTTTTTGTCATTTCACAAAGTACACCCGTCGTGGCTTTATAAACTACATTGGATTGCATTACTATTGCGTTAATTGATGGGTGACGTTTCAATTTTTGATGAAAACGTCGCGTGGCTTATTATTCTTGGCCTTTATTTGAGAATACGTCGAAGTCACTTCACTTATTTTCTACACTATTCTGATTCATACATCAACACCTTTCGAACTATTCTGCGACTATTGAAGTAAATTATTGATAAAGGTGTGTTGATGAAGGAATGATAGAGCAAAGGTTGAATGAGAGGCAGAGGAAACAGGACGACTCTGCCGCCTATCACCTTTGTCCACCACAAAATTCACGAATTTCGAATCGACTGAGAAATGAACCCTGGTAACAGAGTTTGGAAGGGGAGCGAACTAACCAGTATACCAGGAGTGTCGAACTTGCAAGACCTGAAGGACCACAACAGTTACTTTTAATATGGTCGCGGGCCATATTTACATTACTTTGATGCATACATGACTTTCTTACATTGTTGATATCTGCAGTTTACCCGACTGTATAGAAACGGGGGGATGGAATGCGTGATATTAGACCTTAATATGCTTAATGTAGTAAAACACACTGGCTAATTTTGATAAATAAATAAAGATATTGTCAGGTATCAATATTTATTTATCATAATAAAAAGGTATCTACTTCACCAACAATTCAATTAATTAAAGGCTAATTTTGAATTTATTACAAAAAATATTCAATCTAAACTTAACCTATTTTTGTATTGAATTGGGTGTTGGCAGGGCGTGCGCGTTAGTCGCGCTGTAGTCTCACCCGAAATGGATGCAAGGGACTTTCACTTTTGACCAATCACATTTCGCGGGCCGCAATAAATCGCACAGCGGGCCGCATGCGACCCGCGGGCTGTCTGTTGGACAACCCTGCACGTCACCACGGCTCCTGATACGGATTACAAGACACGTCACAGGCGGCAATGTATTATGCATCCTGCGGCGCTGCTAATGTGGCATCCCTGCAGTACCCACGTTCCTGTTGCGACAGCGTCGCTCATTGCTTCACAGAGCTTGGAAGATCCTTCCTCCCCCACTGTCGAAATGGTTTAATTCATCTTCTGTGTTAGTTACAGTAAAGGGAAAGAAACGCTGAATAGCTATCATATATAAACAAAATTTCAAGATTTCGATATTCGAGGTAGGTGAATTAAAGAATGTTTTCAATTTTGGTCTTAGTATGATCATTCGTTAAGTTAATTGTTCCGTCCACGACACAAAGCCCTCGCCGCAATGGCGGGCCCCGGAGGCGCCGCTCCCGCAGGGTGCGCCCGCGCACCCACACCGCACCCGCGCCGCCGGGCCCTCCCCCCCCCCGGCGCCCCTCCCGCTTTCCCTAAGGGCTGCAGCCTTCTGGCTTGCAACGCCACCTTCTCTTGTGCCAGGTCAGACTTGCCAGAACCAGCGAGAGCACAGGCCACACCGCCTGCCCAGGGCCTCTTCGCTGAGCAGTTCTCTACGCTTACAAGCATTTTCATGTTTTGCGCTTCGCGCACTTAAACCCGCTGACTTCGGCACGTGTACTTGTTAACACTGCCATCGCGGGTACTACAGAGCGTACGGACAGACACGACTCACACTGCAGTCACCGGCTGGCGAGAGAGTGTGTGTGCTGCCACACACATAACTCCTGGTGTCAGGGCCACCTACGCCAGGTCCGTGGCCAAGCTACTGGACAGACGCTCCGACTGTGTGGGACGCCTGCATTCAGCTTCGCCCGGAGAGGAAGCACCGCTGGTCCACGCATGCCGCAGCCACCCAGCAGCAGTATTCGCAACACCGTGTGCCCATGGACGTGTAGTGCGCACAAAGTTCACGACGTCACCTTCACGGTAATAAGTAACATAGAAGTAACGAATAACATCCATTTTATATCATTCATACAATTTCATTTCTGTAAATTAATATTTCATTGGTTATATCATCCCATTCACGTTAGACTAGAAATCCAATATCAATAAATCGTATGTGCAATGAAATTCTTGTAACTTTGTCATCCTCCGCCTCCCCTCTTAACAGCGCCATCCCTCTCCCCCGGGCACCTCACGGCCCGGTGCGGTGTTACAATTTACTTTGTATAGAGAAGGGCCTTTCAGTCTACTCGCGGCCCCCTTCCCGTTCAGGTATTCTCCCCTTCTCTGTTCATTAATAATGCTCTCAATAACGTAAATTTTAATTTCTAATAATTTTTATGGGATACATTGAAAATATGATGAAATCACTAACGTAAAATTAATGACACGAATTTACAAACATATTAATTTGCTTCACGTACATATTTATTTTTAAAAAAGCATTACGTAGAATTTGTCCTTTTTGGGCAATATGTTGGTTTATTTTTCAGCGAATGGAAGAGTTTAAATCTACTAAAGCTCTTGGGTATAGTTTCAATGGTAACTATTTTTTATAAACGTTATTCAGATGCACGCTTAAACTTTGAAAACCAGATTCATGAGAAATATACAGAGCAAAACGTTTAACTTTCCTTATGCATTTGTGCCTGTGTCACGGACCCTTGCGTACGGTTCTTAAAGCAGTTTGACGAGAGGTTTAAGAGACTGTTAAAGAGATGTTTGAAATATTTGTAATATATTGTTTATATATGCACGCATGCTTATATACCTTTTAACCCAAACGGTTCTCGATCGCTTACGAGGTCATTTCCTAAAGTCTCCCAACCGGCTGGGTTATGCGCGCCGTCCAGATGCGGTTCACCATGGTAAAGTTCCCCATCCCATCGACTAATAAGACATGCGGGCCTTCATACTCAGTGCGTTCGTGTTATACCTTCGAAGCAAAGACCGGGGGACTCTATGGACGTGGATCGGTGTAAGCGGAATGTAGTGACATAAGACCACAGCAAGTAGACATTCAGGAAGCATCCATTTGGACAATTGAACCTTTGTTTCCACGTTACATCCCTAAACACACATTTCGCCACGAGTTACGACCGTTTTTAGCAATTCTTCAGTTTAAGCGATTTCAGTCATGTTCACTATTAGAGTAAGTATAACTATTTGATATAGGAATACTCAACTTTACCACCAATAGAAACATTAGATCGAATGTACACCTCCCAAATTCCAATAAATTGGTTTCAGTTGCCCCCTCAACTAACTGTCATCTTTTCCGAAACAAATGGAAATCGCTTAAAAGAGAAAACGTGTTTCAGATCACACACACATATACATATATATACATATATATACATACATATACATATACATATATATACATATACATATACATATATATACATATATATATACATATATATACATATACATATATATACACATATACATATATATACATATATATACATATACATATATATACATATATACATATATATACATATACATATACATATATATACATATATATATACATATATATACACATATATACACATATATATACATATATATACATACATAATAAATATACATACGTATATTTTATACACAATAATATGTTATTTAATTTTTGTTAGTTTTGCGTGCGCGGGCGCAGGATTAAGAGCTCGCGCAACTTATTATATTATTATTATTATTATTTTTGGTGTAATGAATTCGTCCTTATAGTGTGTAATGAGTTCAAGCATCCCGGCAGCGCGGTCACCTGCGCGAGGCGCAGCACGGCGCCGGGCGGCAGCGCCAGGGCGGGCGCGTCGTTCACCGGCGTCACGTTCACCGGCAGCACGAAGCGCTGGCGGCCCTGCAGGTAGGCGGGCAGCACGAAACCCGCGCCGGCCGACAGCTCCAGCTCCAGCACCACGCTGTCCGCGTGCTGCTCCGACCCGTCGTGCAGGTACCGCACCTGCACCACCCGCGCTTTCACAAACCGCTCGCCATCGCTCACCTTCGGTTGTGCCACCACCAGACGCATGCGAGGTCTGGGGCTCTCGTTGCGTTCTGACTGATTGGTTTGATTGATTGATTTTGATTGATTGTGTTGTTAATTTTGATTGATTGAGTTGTTAATTTTGATTGATTGAGTTGTTAATTTTGATTGATTGCGTTGTTAATTTTGATTGATTGAGTTGTTAATTTTGATTGATTGAGTTGTTGATTTTGTTTGATTGAGTTGTTGATTTTGATTTTTTGATTGAGTTGTTGATTTTGATTGATTGATTGAGTTGTTGATTTTGATTGATTGAGTTGATTGATTGAGTTGATTGATTGATTGATTGAGTTGATTGATTGAGTTGATTGATTGAGTTGTTAATTGGTTGAGTTGTTGATTGATCGATTTGTAGATTGATTGAGTTGTTGATTGATATATTGATTGGTGATTCTGACACTTCAACTACCAACGTCATTAGTCCCGTAAGTGTAATGCACGTTTTTTGCTCGCGAGGTGGCGGTGATCTTTCCCCCGCTGTATGGCGAGATCCGGCGCCGACCTACGGCTGGCCAGCGGGGTTTCTCTCAACTAGGTGTCTCCCACCCGCGGGACACCGCCAAAATTAGTGATGATTTAATGAGTTAACAATTAGCGATGGTACCAAAACCAAGAGTAACTATTAATTAAATTGTACTCAAGCTCTTGAAAAGGCTTCCGGTCGAACAAGAAATAAATAAATAAAGAAAGAAACAAACAAACAAAAAAGAAATATTAAGAATGTAAATGATCCAAAAAATGTGCCTTTCGACGCCGCGGGTATTAATATCACAAATGCTCGGAAACAGTCACGATAAATGGTGCGTATGAATTTGGGATTTTAATGTTGTGTCATCAACGGGTAATTAAATTAGTACTGTGCAATTTTACAACATACAGAACACAAACTAATAATCCAAACAAGACTAAATGGCTGCAAGCAGGAATGGAATCATTTCTATCTGCCTTTGATCTATTACAGATCGCAATCACGTTCGTTTGTATCTACTGGCTACTGATCAGACCTGTAATTACTTATTTACGTAGTTAGTATTGAATGTTTTGTTAATTTAGATGAAGTGGCTTTCGAGGATAAACTAGAGAAAGGTGTATATGAAGATTCCTCGTTAAGGGGAGGGGCACTGAGCAACGAAATTCGATCTTCACGTAAAGCTCTCATACTCAAAGATGTTCATGGCGTGCCGACTTTACCGCGTCTAGATGGAGCATAAGAGGCGGAGAACTCACCTTGTCCTTGGCGATGTCAGAGCATGGACTGGTAGTGGGAGATCGATGTAGCGGGTAGAGGCTTGGAGTAAGAGTGGCGGCCGTTGCCCCTATCGTAGTGGGTAGGCAAGGTCACTGTTTCGGTTTGTCTAGTGTTCGGTTAGTGGGATAGAGTTAGGGATGCATGAGGTGGTGTTCGAGGTGAGATGATGATGATTGGGCTGAACGATCGTGATTTGGGTTTCTAGTGATGGATCGTGTATAGCATGCAGAACGATGGAGAGCCGCCACGCAGCCGCCCCCGCCGCCGGGCCCGCTCCACACAGTCACGTGCCACAACACCGTCATCGTCAAATGGACAGTCAAACCTAAGGAAGAAGCAGAAATCACTTCAATTTATTTATTAACTAGTTATGGGCAAAATATGTAGTAAGAGTAGAGACACACTTTTCTTTCTCAACTGGGCATTGTGAACAAACGTACAACTATTGTAATCAGTAGTACGTCTAGAAAACTTCTAAATAAACTTCAAGGGCTTGGAACAGTAACAAGAAAACCAAAACAAACCAAAATAAGGTAGTCTGGTGAGGCCAATCTTGTTACTGGCCCAATTCCTTCGTTTGTAAAAAAACAAAATCCAATCTAGCCAATCAGAGGCTTTAGGATACATTTGATGCCAGTGTATATTAAATAAAATTTAAAAAAAACTATGAATTATTGTATTATTAAGACAACAAAACGACTGCATAATATTCAATATCTAAATTTGTAGGTTGCTATGCATTTTAAAATAAATTGCAGTATATTGAACGGCAACAGTGAAATGAGGGTGAACTTAAATGGTATATTATAATAATTTTTTTCTTCTGTTTGCATTACAATCACACATATAAATTGATTCATTTAATATGAGTAAAGCATTTGTTTCAACGTTTCGGAAAGCTTTCGTCTCCATCTTTAGATTAACTGAAAGGTTTATAATAAATATTGCTTATTATTTATACTAAATTATACCTGAGGTTGGACGCAATTTTTATTGGGACCGTCACCGAGCGGGGCAGCTTTTTATACGTAGTTATGGCCTAAGTGAATTGCGTTATATACATTTTAACATGTGTTAATTTTAACAATTTTAACTTTTTTCCAGGTGTTTCTCAACTTTATTTCTTTTATTGCTTTTTCTTTCCATGATTGTTCATTTCTAAATATAAGCAATTTTCATCATTACTTTCTTTTACCATGAACTTCATCCTCTGATAATTGAGTTTTTATCACAAAAGGAAAGTGTATAGAAGCATTGTCATTTTATAATGATACAATTATTTAGTATAAATATTTGCTCTTTACAGCTTATTTGAACATGGAATCCATAGTATGCAGGTTTCAGCGACCGGATTCAGCATCTCTTGGGCTGTATGGGTGACGCGCTATCCTATGCACAAGTACCAACGTCTCGGCGGCCATCTTGCGACCTTCCTCAGGGCGAAATGCGACAATGAGTGAACGCGTTTCGCCACGAGGAAGGTCATAGAATTAAAGTTGGAACCTGTTCCTACGACGCGGCATCTCTCGGACAGCCAACCAGATACATATCTCCATCGGACTGTTGTACCCACGTTGGCGGGTTCAAACCCGATCGAAGCCGTGGATTTTTAAGGGCGAAAAAATCCTTCGTAGGCCTTCGTTCGGAGGGGAAAGTAAAGCCGGCTGTCCCATTGTTGAGTAGATTACTTGGCTGTAAAAAAAGGAGCGTAGCGAAATTTGCGTGGTCAGATGGAAGAGCGGGCCTGATGGCCCGAGTATCGCCACGTGAAGTAAGGCTTCAACTCAATTCAATTGTCTATCGATTTGCCCCTATTTAAGCAGACGCCAATGCACGGTGTCGCGCGCGCATCTTCCGTCTGACCACGTCATCCAGCAGCGGAGAAAGAGAGTATTTATTGAGGATCTTTTACATTCAAGTAAATCTACTAACATGGGACAGCCGGCTTTACTTCCCCTCCGAAGAAAGGCGTACGAAGGATTTTTCGCCTCTTTCGCCTGTCTTCAATCTACTAACATGGGACAGCCGGCTTTACTTTTCCTCCGAAAGAAGGCGTACGAATGATTTTTTTCGCCCTTCAAAACCCACGGCTTCGACAGGGTTTGAACCCGCCAACTTGGGTACAACAGTCCGATAAGCTAACCGTCACACTATCCGTCGCCGGCCTGCACCGACTCCAAGGTGATTGGCCGTCGCGCGGAGTGGGGGTGGGGGGTGGGGGGCTACTCACCTCGAGGCGCCCGTGCTTGGGGGGCTGCACGACGTAGAGCAGCACGCCCGAGTCGCGCACGCCGTACTTGGGGTAGTCGAGCACCACGTCGATGTGGCGCGTGGTGAGCAGCGCGTGCCCGCCCTCGGCCACGCGCAGCGGCGCCAGCGCCAGCAGCTCCAGCTCCACGGCCAGCGACGGCCGCGAGTACACCTGCGCGCACACACAGCGTACCTTCCACCATGCGGCCCGCGGCCCGCGCGGAGAGGTGGCTCAGGGCAGCCACTGAGGTCACTGCAGTCCCTCTGACCTAGGTTCAGAGTCTCGACGGTGGAATCGGTTTTCGACACTTGCAAGGCATTGCAGCTGGGTCGAATTCAGGCGCTGCCGGGAGGCGAACTCTAGCGATCTTGTCGGTAATTTTCGGCGGATTTTCCGATCAACACCTGGAGAATCTTGGAGCAGTGCCTTGGCTAACAGACCGCTGACCGGACGCGATCTTGCCTGTCTCTTCCTTGTCCTATCCTTACACACACACACCGATATGAACTACGCTACCACACCTGCTGGGAGACCGGTCGGGAACTTCTAGATTGTTTCGGATGACGCGGTGCCCAGCTGGTGGGAGATACCTGGTTGGGGAAAATCCCACTAGCCGACGGAAGTTCGGCGCCGGATATTGCCATACAGCGGGGGAAGACCACCGCCATCTCACGAGTAAAAACATGCACTACACTTATGGGTCAAATGACCCTAGTAGTTGACGCGCCCGGAATCACAATAAATCCACGGATGCACAGGGTATGAGTGAAACATTTCTGCATATTGTGGTCGATTGTTTGATTGGTTAATTTATTAGTGATTCCGGGTGTGTCAACAGCTAAGATATTAGCTCCGGAAGTGCAGTCCACAATTTTTTTCTCGAGAGGTGGCGGTGGTCGTCCCCCACTGGCTGGTGAAATCCCGCGCTGACCTACCTATCAGCTTGCGGGGTTTTCCCTCATCCATGTATGCCCCCCACCAGCGGGGGCACCCCCCCCCCAGCCAAGGCAAGCTCTAAGCTCCCGCTCCGGTCTCCCCGCGTACTGTTGTGGTAGCCTCTGTAGTGCACCGACAGTGTGCAGTAAGAAAGGGGTGAAGATAATAAGAAAAGCAAAGGGCTCGGAAAGAATCGGCCGCGGGCCGTGGCCTGCTTGTTAGGCGTACTGCTGCCGGCATTCGCCTGTGTTTAATCGGAGAAACCAGGAACAACTACCGATCGAGGCAGCCGCCCGTTATTCCTTCCCAGACAGCCGAAAGAACTCGACTCTAAGCAATCTACCTAGTGTCGAAATTCTGCAACCGCCTGGCCTCGAAACCTTAGACCTTCCGGTCAGAGGCACTGCAGGACATCAATTGATGCCCTGAGCCACATCTCCCCGGTCTCTTTCCAGTTAACAACCAATTCCACCAATAAAACATATGATTCCAAAAGAAATTCAACTAAGAATGTTACATTCATTGCATCGATTAATTGCCATCCTCACGCAATAATGGAGTTGCTTTTTCTGAAGGAACTCGATGATTCTTCAAAGTAAACTATTTCTGTAAAGCTTGCAACCACAAAACAAACTTAAATTGCTTAATTAATGCCAGATGGAAAATGACCAAAAAACATCATGCAATATATCTGACGCAAACTGTCGGGAACCGGAACTAGAACACCTAGTGACAGGCGAGTGCCAGTAGCTGCCCTTGAGCCACCCGACGACAAGCGCGGCCGGGGGGCGGAGCGCGAGAGCCTTGAACCTTGTGGTGCTGGCCGAGTCCGGGCGCACGCCAGAGCGCCAGAGCTGGTCGCAGTCGCAGCGGAACGAAGTACGACTCCTTGCTGCACGCAGCGACGCGCGCCACCGCGCCACGCCACCGGCGCCTCGCGCGCACGGCACAGTTCCACACGCCAGTCCGGGCCACGCACGCCCCTGCGTTCAACGCGCGCTACGGGCAGCCCAGGCGCTCGCGCCTTCTCCGTAGCGCCTGCATTGGGCGGCGCTAGCCGCACCGGTCGGAAGGCTCTGCGTTCCGCCGCGCTGGCCAGCCCCTGCGCACGCGCCACAACACTCTCACTCTCTACTCGTACTCTCACTCTCACTCAGACTCTCAGCTCTCACTCTCTCACCCTCACTCTCTCACCCTCACTCTCTCACCTCACTCTCTCATCCTCCTCTCTCACCCCTCCCCACCTCCCTCCCTACCCCTCACCTCCCTCCCTCACCCTCACCTCTCCTCCCTCCACCTCCCTCCTCCCACCCCTCACTTCTTCCCCTTCACCCTCCACCTCTCTCTCACACCCCTCACTCTCTCTCACCTCCCACCCCTCCTCCCCACCCCTCCCCACTCTCTCTCCACCCCTCCACCCCTCTCCACCCCTCCACTCTCCTCCACCCTCACCTCATCTCACCTCACTCTCTCACTCTCTCTCCCACTCTCTCTCACGCTCTCTCATCTCTACTGATCACTCTCTCCGGACTCACCCCTCCCTCCCCTCACTCTCTCTGACTCACTCTCTCTGACACCTCCTCTGACCACTCTCTCTGATCACCTCTCTCCTCACCCCACTCTCCCTCCTGACTCCTCTCCTCCCTACTCACTCTCTCTGACTCTCTCCTCGCTGACTCTCTTCTCTCTGCTGACTCATCTCTCCTGATCTCTCTCTCTGACTCTCTCTCTCCTGGACTCTCTCTCTCGCTCATCTCGACTCTCTCTCCCACCTCCCTCCTCCACCTCTCTCACCACTCTCCTCCTCCCCGCCCACCTCCCCTCTCTCCCCTCCACCTCTCTCTCTGACTCTCTCCTCTACTCTCTCCTCTGACTTCTCTGTAGACTCTCTCTCTCACTGCTCTCTTCAAACATTCTCTCTCCCACTCCCTCGCTTCCACTCCCTCCACTCCCCCTCCTCTCCCTCGCACCCTCTCTCCCTGCCCACCTCTCCCTCCTCCCCGCCACCTCCCTCTCCTCCACCCTTCTCTCGCGTACTCTCTCTCGTCACTCTCTCTCTCACTCTCCGAGTTCTTCGTCGATCAGTCGTTCGCTGCGTCTCCGTTCACGTCTCTCGTCATCTCTCACTCTCTCTACTGCCAGCTAGCATCGTCGGCGGGAGCGACTGGCCCTTGATGCTAGTCGCGCGTCATGTTCAGCCTCGCCGGCATTACACAGGCAGAATTATTTTACAGATCAGATATATACGACACACATATCCATACATGAATGAAAGAAGTAGTTACACGCATTTACAGACTTATTTAGTACCTTGTATTTTTACTTAACTGTTTAAGAATTTAAAATTGCCAAACTATTATTATTTTATATTATTATTATTATTATTATTATTATTATTATTATTATTATTATTATTATTATTATTTCTCAGTTAAACTGGGCAAAAGGAATCTTGTCTTTTAGGACCACATTCTGCTCTTATGACTTTAAGTCACATTATGCTCGAGCTTCAGCCTCGCCGGATACACAGGTAGTATCATTTTGCTTTTGTCTCAACTTTCACATTGATTACTTTCACAACAGATCATACAAGAAAGAAAAATGGTGTACAATATTTATACTCATTTACAGATATTTAGTATTGTATTTATTTACTGTTAGGAATTTAAAAACTTGCCAACAATTATAATAATAATAATAATAATTATTATTATTAATATTATTAATACTATTATTATCTTTATTTCTCAGTTATACTGGACAAAAGGATTCTGTCTTTTGGTGTCACAATCGTGTGTGTGTGTGTGTGAGGGGAGACAAAGATACTAGAATGAGAAAAGACATATATCGCACGCGGTTCGTAGCCAGTTTTTCCAAGATACAGATCTGGCATTCGCTTAGTATTAATCAGAAAAAAAAAGAAAACACGGGTAACTACGGATTAAAGCCGCAGGCCACGACAACTCTTCTTTAAGCTGTAGTTGAATGTCTCCCAGCTATGTAGCTAGAATCGAACATCTGCCACCGGCAGGGCTCGAACCCTAGGACCTCCCAAACATCGATGCCTCAAGGCATAGATGTTGCCACTGAGCTATCGCAAACGTCTGGCCCTGAAGCACAGCACGGCGGCTGCGCACAGCAGTTGCGACGAAGGAAGGGGAGCAAGTATCTTAGCGATTTGAGATTATTTACGATTTGAGGCCGTATTCACACTCTTTGTGTGGTTCCAAAACATGTTATGTCGCTTATTCACAACGCGATCCATAGATTTGCGGACTACATACATACGCAAACGCTTAATGTAGTACGCTACCAACGATCAGGAAACCAGTCAGAAGTAAATAAAATAAAGTTTACTTCAATATATCTTTTCTCACTAGAAAATAAAAAAAGGAATTTTTCCTAAGATTAAGAATATGTATTCTTCTAAACATGTCTTTCCTGCAATTTATACTAGGGAATAAATTTCCAGATAGAATGAACTCCACTCTAAAAATATAACGTACGTTACTGCTCGAGATACACGGATAAAAATATAAAACATAACTTTTCCAATCTGATACCACCCTGCGGTAGAAGTTATTTCGTGATCCTTAAGCATTTATTTTAAGTCTAAGTTCATACGTACACCTACTTTAATCTTTTCCCAGATTTTAGAAATGATTTCGCACCCCAGAAGTGGACAATGCAATGAATAAGGAAATATTTCTCAGAATCTCTTGATCGTTCTCTTCCGCCAGTCATAAACGTAGGGAAATAAAACGTAGGGAATAAATACAACCTTCTCCGTACGCCGACGGTGAGGAATAGATGGAACCCTACAGTCCCCTCACCCTTGTGCCACATCGGCCGTGAGCACGGATGTACTTTTACCTAAGCACATGATCAACAAAGCTCGCAGCTGATCGAAGTTGTTATTTTACCTGATTCACCGTGAAATGTTACCACAAAACGTGACACCTGCGTTAAGACGTGTTACCAGAAAAAGAAACACATCTTAAGAGTGCGGTTGTATAGAAAGGATATGTATGTATGCACTTGGCGCGACAGCCCGTGACCGGGCTCAGGCCTACCGATGACGTCCCTGCCTCGCGGTCATGGGTTATGAGGGTACGTGTGGTTACCACATCTCCACGCCGTATTCCGATCTTCTCAACCTGAGAAGTGACTTTTCTCATCGTCACACAGCCACATATACTGGGACATTGCAAGGAAAACGCACACTATAGTCTTGGCTCGACCGGGAATCGAAACCGGGTAAGCGTAGTGGAAAGCGAGCTGACCAAGAGCTAACCATGAGCGCAACGCAAGGATATAGCAGATAAATCAAAGATACAAAATGTTCCTGAGTTGACGGATGGCGCTGATCCATGTGATCGCCCGCGGCGCACACGACGAGGAAGTTTTATTTATTTTGCATCATAGCCCACCGAGTAAATTTTTGTTTACAGAAGAAACTAATATGAACACTAATGAAAAACCAGACGAAGATTAATTATTCTTTTATGAATAACCCGGAGAGGAGACCTTCGCGTGAAGCCAGTGACAAGTGTTCTCTGACAGTTATTAACAGGAAAGCAAAGAGAGGGGAGTTCAGAAACAAAGTTACAAAACATGGGCTATTCCGCCGAGAAAACGAAACGAAAACGTCGCACTTTGATATTCTATTTTGGAGATCTAGTGCGGTTTAACACGCGTCTTACAGTATTCACAGAATACAGTGTGTTCCAAAGTAAATGTTACAAAATTGAAGGGCCTTTATAGGGGTAAAAGGTGATCACTCATGACCGATAAACATGAGGTGGGAAATTTCTTATTACATGTGACATTGCTTCTTATCACGCAACCCCTCCAGCAGTGGTGTTGAGCAGGCAAAAAGTAATGTTCTTGGCTGTCTCAGAACGTCAAACGCCAGTGCATGAGAAATCCCCCAACTAGAGGCATGTGTTACTTGGGTACTATCTCTAAATGCCGAGGGGCATATGTTACCTGTGTAACTCCTAACGAGGGGCATATGTTACTTGAGTGACTCCCAACGAGGGGCATATGTTACTTGCGTGACTCTCAACGAGGGGCATATGTTACTTGTGTGACTTCCAACGAGGGGCGTATGTTACCTGTGTATCTCCGAATGAGCATATGTTACCAGTGTACAGGCACACACGTACCGTTACACAGGTAATGTGGCTATCGTTTGTCCGATTTTCTGCTATATGAAAATTGGCAAAATGTGATCATTTTCTACATGCACTGGAAGTTTCATTCTCAAACATCCTGTATTAGTTTCCGGATAATTGATATTGGCAAAGTGTGATCATTTTCTACATCCCTGAAAGTTTAATTCCGAACACCCTGTATCGCTTCCCGCTATTGATAATTGGCAACATGTGATCATTTTCTACATGCCCTGAAGTTTCATTCTGAAAAACCTGTCTAATTTCTGCTATTTTGATTAATTGCAAAATGTGATCATTTTCTTCAGCCGCCCTGGAAGATTTCATACTCTTGCTGAACCTGCGCGAGCGCCCGGGCGCGCTTGTTGAGCTCGAATGCGCCCACGTAGAGCGTGTCCGCACGTCGAGGAAGCGCTGCGCCTCTGCGGGAGGCGCGCGCTCACGGCCGCGCCGTCCACCGCGATCTCCATGAAGGTCGGGTTGAAGTGCACGGCGACGGCGTGCCAGCGCCCGTCCGCCACCGCGGCCTCGCTGCGCAGCTCCAGCGCGCCCGCGCCCTTGTTCAGCAGCAGGCGCAGCCGCCCGCCCACCAGCTCCAGCCCCACGAAGTCGCCCTGCGACGCGCGGCCCGTGCTGTACAGCAGCACGCCGCGCTCCGACGACGTCTTCAGCTCCAGGTGCCACCTGCGCGCACACGCGCGACACGCGCGGTTAATGCTCTCCCGCGCCCATTCAGGCGCAAATGGCAAGACTCAAAATAAAAAAAATCACAATTTCTCTTCAATTCACGCTTTTACAAGAATAATGATGAATCACAAGTCCTATAACATTAATAAAAAGCAAGCGTGCCCTTTCAGACAGAAATGGAAATGAAGACTTGAAATAATGCACCATTTCTGTTCAATTCCCGTTTTTACAAGAATAATGATGAATGAATCAAGTCCCATAACGTTAATAAACACCAAGCGTGCCCATTCAGACAGAAATGGAACAAGGAACTTCAAATAAAAAAGAATGTAAACGCCATTTATGTTAAATTTACGATTTTACAAGAATAATGATGAATGAATAAAATACTTTAACATAAAAAAAACAAGCGTGCCCATTCAGACAGAAATAGAATTGAAGACTTGACATAAAAAAGGGACAATTCTGTTAAATTCACGTTTTCACAAAATTAATGATGAAGAAAGTCCTCTGACGTTAATAAAAATAAAGTGTAGGCGCATTTCTTGACAGTTTTTCGGAGTGATTATAAATGGCATGGGTTGAAAGTACCAATAGGTTATAACGTATATATAAAACTCATTTTTCTCGAAAGTATGAAAATGGCACTTATAGTTTTTTTTATTTCAAGTCTTTAATTATGTGACAGAAAGTGTCTATGGTATCTACATGTGTTTCAGATGAAAGGTTACAAATTTCTGGACACGAAAGAGTTCGATTACTTCATTGATTGTTTAGTGGTCCGGGACGCGTCAACTGCGGTCATTAGTCCCGTACGTGTAGTACATGCTCTTCTTGAGGAGATAGCTGTGATCGTTCCTCCACTGGAAGATGATATCCGGCGCCGACCTACACATCGGCTTGAGGGTTTTCCACAACCAGGTATCTGCCACCAGCGGGGCACAGCCCCAGCCGGGACAAGCTCTTAGCTCCCGGTCGGTCTCCTGGTATGTACGATATTGCATTGCATGTTAAGAGTAAGTGTGTAAGTAAGGAGCGAGGATAGGGCAATGAAGAGGAAGGAAAGATCGCGCGCGGTCCGTTTCTGACGGTGCTGCTTCATTGATGTGAGATACCTGGTTGGTGAAACCGTCGTCAGTCGACATGCAGTTCACTATCCAGCAGGGAAATATCACATCAACTTCCCGAGGGTAAACACCCCGTACATTTACGGGAGTAATGATCTTAGCAGTTGGCGCACCTGGAATGACTATTCGAAGGACGAGGTGTGTCCACGTACCGCACGGCTCCGGACCTCACGATCCAGCAGGGAAACATCACAGCAACCTCCCGCGGGAAACCCGTACATTTACCCGTACATTTACAAACCCCGTACATTTACGGGACTAATGAACTTAGCAGTTGGCGCGCCTGGAATCACTAATTAATCGAAAGAGGGCGTTTGTGCTCGTACCCCTCGGCTCCCCTCCGCGCGAACTCACTATCCAGCTGGGAAAGATCACAGCACCTCCGAGGGGTAAACACTCCGTACATTTACTAATGACCTTAGGCAGTTGACGCGCCCGGACATCACTAATCAATCACTAATCAATCGAAAGAAGGAGCTCGTCACGTACGGCACGCGCCGGAATCTCGCTATCCAGGAAGGAAAGAATCACAGCGCAACCTCCGAGGGTAAACACCCTGTACATATACGGGACTTAGACTAGCAGTTGGCGCGCTGGAATCAATCAATCATCGAAAGATGGGGCTTTGGTCCACGTAACGCTCGGCGTCGGACCTCACTATCTATGCAGGGAGAAGATCATAGCAACTTCCCGCGGGTAAACCCGTACATTCTAACCCGTACAATTTACAAACCCCGTACATTTACGGGAGTATGACTTAGCAGTCGACGTGCGCGGCATGACCATCAATGAACGGAAGAAAAGGCGCTGACCACGTACCGCACGGAGCCGGAGTCTCACTATCCAGGAGGGAAAGATCACACGAGCACCTCCCGGGTAAACCCCGTACACAATTGGGGACTAAATGACCTAGCAGTTGACGTGCCCGGAATTATAATTAACTGAAAGAAGAGGCGTGACCACGTACCGCACGCCGGTGCGCGCGAATGACGGTTGGGCAGCGCCACGAGGCGCCGTCCTCCACGAGCTGAGTGGCGCGCTCTGCAGGCCCGCGGCGTCGAACTCGGGCGCGCGACGCCCACGTACAGAAGCCGTGCAACGTCCAGGCCGCCCAAGCGCTCGGCCGCCGCGCGCCAGCCACGTTCACGCCGGTTTACGCACGTCGCCAGGCAGCCAGGGCGCAGGCTGTCAGGTGGACAGGAAGAGCTCGCTGAAGGTCCGCCCAGCCCGCAGGTAAGCCCTCGTGGATGTTCACTCGAAGTAAGCGGCGGAAGCTTCTTTCCTGCGGCACGGAGCACGGCGCTCACGTTTTCATTCGCTGCGCAGGGCTTGGATCAAACCTCCAGCGAGATCGAACCAATTAAGTTGTAGCTTCCGCGGCCAGAGTGCATGTGGGGGATCTGGTGCTGTCGTGTCACGCGAGTCGCAAGGCCTGTGTTGCCGACGTTTTCGACCAAATCCGTCGTGGTCTTCCTCAGGTTCTTCTTGGCAACAGGCCTGAGGAAGACCACGACAAGATGTTGAAACGTCGGCAACTCAGCTTTTGACGCGGGGCGTCACCCGACAGCCCAGATCACCGAGATTGAATGAAGATATACCAACTGTGACTTTGATGAACACTATGCGTAACGATTGTAACTCACTCTGTCACGTTCCTGGAACATAACAACTGTACTTTGATGACATAACCTAATTGATGACAAGAAAGGGGAGTGCGGAAGCAAAATCAAGGAAGGTTGACTCAAACAGAGGAGGTGTTACTCACTCTGTAAAAGTCTATATATTGGTATGAGCTGCACATGGTATGAGAGCTACACTGCTAAATGAAGGGGAGTCGGAGAAACACAGAATGTCTGACTATAGTCGAGATGTCACTTACCCACTAAAGTCTATCTATTGGTACATAGCGCCACATGGTATTGAGAGCTATAAGTTGCTAAATGGGAGTTTTTATGCTACAAAGAAAGAGATAGGACACAAAGAAGGTTTGAACGTATAGAAGGTGTACTCACCCCTGCTAAAATGTTCTATTTTATGTGGTACGCATAAGCTGCCACATATGAGAAGCATGAACATTGTTCAGCTCTCTGACTGAGATAAGTAGTGAAAGTAACAGTGTAATACTATTTTATATACATTTTATTACTATCTTTATATAGGCAAAATACATTTGTTTATGATAAAACGAAAAAGAGAAAATAAGTGGGGCAGACCCCTAGAGTTTTCTCTAATTAAGTACGCATGAAATGTTAATTGATCTTATTCTAGTATTGTATTGTAACTATTATTCAATTATTAAATTGATCAACTTATCAGCTACTTCTGGAAACTCAGACTACCGCGAAAACGATTAGAAGGGGAATGGACAAAATATAACAATCAATACAACAGTATGCGGAATTTTTAGTTATTAAGTGCATTATATAAATTACTCCTTGAAATGACAATAATTATTATTAATAAAAATATTACTTCGTTATTAACATTATTAATTATAGTATAATAAAATTATTAAGTTGGAATGAATGTTTGTGGCGTTTCTTTAAGCGTTGGGAAGAAAGGCCTGAGACGCTTGATTATGTGTTTTTCGACAGGGTTTATTTTGGAATTAGCATATTGGATACTACGAAAATCCTTTGATGGTCCCATCCAATGCTTGACTACCGACGCAATTAAAAAAGCAGCCTGGTGGTGGCAGACATCTTTCGTTCCCACACGATTATTCCCTTTAACATCGTAGTGTCGTCCACCTCTAGTTAATATTCAAGCACGAACACTAAATTTTAATAAACATGTACGGAGATGTAACTAGTGTGCTAAAACTGCAGTTCAGTATTCTCCTCCGTATTTTCACGCAAGTTTACGAGAAAAGTACTCAAAATTTTGAAACTTTGTACATGCCTTATTTTTAAAATCTTCTTTAAGGAAAAAGTTCATTAAGGAAAAAGCCTGTATCTTTAATATTTTAGTTGTAGGGAAAGCGACGAAAAAAAATTAAATTTTTGAGATTTTCGAAACATAGTTTTCAATGTCAATGAGACCTACACTATCTCTAAACCGTCCTTCACTCTATCAACAACAAATTTAAACAAAAACGATTGGTTGACTTTTTTCTAAATCAGGAAAAAGTCCCAGAGGCTTCAATGTAAAGTAACCCGAAATTAAAATATCGGTTTCAAATTCAAGGGCCGCATCATCAGTAAGATTGATTAAGGAAAAATCATTGGGGAGAAAATAAGCTGACGGCTTTAGCCTTAGCTGATTGTTCACAGATGGGACAAGCCAGCGGCCAGGCAGAACGGACGGGCGACAGACATTTTTTTGCGCATTTGATATTTTAGGTATTCTATGACCGCAATTATGGAATTTTTGGCGTAACCAGCGTGTTGAGGACTTTTTTCTGAATTTAACAACTGGATTTATCCCTTTTTTGTTTACTGTAGTAAGAGTTTTTTCTGCCGCTAATTCGCAAGTTTTTTCGCACAGCATTAACAAACCTTCTCTCTATTCGCGCGGCGAGAAAGTAAAAGAAAGATGAACAAAGGGGATACAACAAAAACAATAAAACGGTCAAAGCATCCTGAAGTTTCCTTGCAACATCCCATACAACAAAATTCAAGTTTTGACCATTAATACTTGTAAATGGATCATAGTTGATTATTGCAAAACGCAAAATACATAAGGTGCTTGGGAATGCTCATTAAATCTTTTACTTGCCATCTCTAAAAGGACGAAATATAACAATTGAAATCCTGTCAGATTTGCAATTTGACATAAATATGATTTACTTTTTCAAAGGTCGACTTAGTATTCAATGTTGAACTTACAGGTTGGAAATTTAAATCCAGAATGGTAATTTTATTATGCTAG